ACGCCACAGCCTACCTGAGTATTGTTCTGACCATGTTCATCCCTTTATGAGCACAGTGTCTCCATCTTCTGATGGCTACTTCCAGCAGGATAATGCATCATGTCAAAGCGTGAATCATCTCAGACTGGTTTCTTGAACATGACAATGAGTTCACTGTACTCAAATGGCCTCCACAGTCACCTGAGCTCAACTCAATAGAGCAGCTTTGTAATGTGGTGGAACGGGAGATTGGCATCATGGATGTGCAGCCGACAAATCTGCAGCAACTGTGTGATGCTATCATGTCAATATGGAGCAAAATTTCTGTGGAATATTTCCTGTACCTTGTTGAATCTCAGACTTGAAGGATAAGACAGTTCTGAAGGCAAAAGGGGGGGCAACCCGATACTAGTAAGGTGTACCTAATAAAGTGGCCAGTGAGTGTGTCTATATATATATATATATATATATATTTATATATATAAATAAATATTTACACACTCAAGGAGACAGTCAGGTTAGAATAGAGCCAATGAGACAAAATAAAGTGCAGAAGGGATACAGTTGTGGCCAAAGGTTAATAAGAATTATGTATATTCTTACAACAATACAATTACTGTAACACAATAATGACTGTCTGTACATGACTGTGAGAGACAGGTTTCGGGTTAGGGGAAGAAGCTAATAAAATACATTAAGTAATTGAATAAATAAATTTCAATATAATTACTGTTTTTACATGATTGTTAGGGGTTTGTTGTGAAATGGGGTGGGGTAGATGTTAATAAAATAGTGTATGTTCATAAAATTATAGAATATTTATCGTTATAAATACTGTTTATTATATCATAAAGTGGGGTAGATGTTAATAAAGTACAATTAAATGTGTAATTTTGTAGATATCTATTGTTATAATGACTGTTTTTACATTACTGTGAAGGGCAGGTTTAGGGTTAGAGTGGGGGAAGACGTTCAAAAAACACTATTTAATGGGTAATTTGAAAAATAATGTAAATAATTCTCATTAACACCCGGCTGCAGCTGTATCCATTTAAGCAACAGTGAATACGCACTCACAGGGTCATGTGACCTACCATAGTCTTATCGCTGTTGGGTGTGGGGGTCACATGATGGCACTCCAGACTGCATTTGTGGTTACCACAAGATAGAGTTCGTCCACATAACCGGCCGCAGGAGAACGGCCCACGGGCGTGACACGGTACTGGACTCACCTTAAACACACACATACACGTATAAACACACACGGGAAACACAAATACACATACAAACATACATAGAAGCACACACAAACACATACAGAAACATACACATATGCATGCATACACACAAACACATGCATACACAAACACACTAACCCAGATACAAAAACATACACACACTTACACACAAACAAACGCATACAAACACACACATGCATGCATGCATGCCAACACACACATGCAAGCATCCACAAATACAGGTATGCACACAAACAAGCACCCAAACACACACATGCAAGCATCCACACACACACAAAAACACGCATGCAAAGTAATAGACCCACACAAACAGAAAAAAACACACACACAAGCATGCAAGTAATTCCACACACATATGTAAACACACACACACACACACACACACACACACACACACACACACACACACACAAGCATGCACAAACACACACAAGCATGCACAAACAAACACATGCATGCACAGACACAATCTTTATGGAGTTATGATTGAGGCTCTTTTTCAGTCTGGTGCCAACTACATTTATCTGTTTACATTTGCAAGTGTGTGTGTGTGTGTGTGTGTGTGTACTGGTTTAAGTGTTTTACAAGTACAGATATTGGTCCCACTTTATATTAAGTGTCCCTAACTACTATGTACTTACATCAAAAAATAAATACAATGTACTTACTGTGTTTATAATGTATTTGAGAACACTTGTGGTGCTTTTGAGTTGGGATAGGGGTTGGGTTATGGACAGGTTTGGTGGCGTGGGTAGGTTTAAGGGTGGGTTAAGGTGTAAGGGATGGTCAACAGTGTATTTACAAATGTAACTACAACAGTTAATTACAGATGTATTTACAAACATGTATTTAATCAAGCATAAGTACACAGTAAATACATGTATTTACACAATAAGTACATTGTAACAAACTATTAATTCCTGTGTAAATGCATATTAGTTAAGGCCACTTAATATAAAGTGGGACCCAGATTTTTGTATAATGAATATCTGTATTATGGGTATGAGCTAGGATTTACAACATTGAGGTGGTTTATGTCATTATTGTAGCGTTTATTGTGATTATAGCTATTGTAATTCAAAGATTATACGTAAAGGGGTCTTTTCAAATTGAAAATGTGCCTGAGAGGGGTGGATTTGGGGGGTCGGGGTGGGGTGAGGCCATATAATAAGCTTTTTTTACTGTATAAAATATATTAGGGCTATGGAAAGTACTCATAAAACACCAATACCAACATGTGTGTGTGTGTGTGTGTGTGTGTGTGTGTGTGTGTGTGTGTGTGTGTGTGTGTGTGTGTGTGTGTGTGTGTGTGTGTGTGTGTGTGTGTGTGAGAGAGTGAGTTCAAGCCTCCAGTTTTTCAGTGCTGCAATCATTTGACCTTCAGTGTTATCTATAAAATGAGAGATCCAGGAACTCAAGCTTATCAGCTGCTGTATGAAATGAACCAGAGATGCTGCTGTGTGTGTGTGTGTGTGTGTGTGTGTGTGTGTGTGTGAGTGTGTGTTTACCTCATGTTCTCCCAGACAGGCTCTGTGGAGGAAAAACAATACAGGAGATGTTGTCTTTTACAGCCGCAGGACACACAATGACATCATCTGTTGCGTTTGGACTCGCTTTAAAGAGCCGGACGGACTTTAATCCCCATTTAACTTTTTGGCTACGACTGGCCAGAGTGTGTGAGCCATATGTGCGCAAATCTCTACAACACACAGTGCCAAAAACACGCTTCCCCACCGCTCCTACAAACACACAGTGGTGGCGCCTGCAGCGAGTGTGTGTGCGTGGACTGCTTTTGATGGTTTACAAGCACAGACATTTTTATAAGTAATACTATATAATAGGTATGAGCTAGGTATTTCAACATTGGGGTGTTTGTATCATTTTGTTCATCATGTATACTAATGATTGTCGTAGTATTCAAGGGGATTGTCATATCATTAAATATGCAGATGATTCTGTGATCGTAAGTCTCCTCCACGATCAGGATTTGGGGCATGGTCCTGCTGTACAGGAGTTTACTTCCTGGTGTGATAGATTTTCTCTCCAGTTGAATGCAAGTAAAACAAAAGATATGGTGATAGATTACAGGAAGGCTTCTCAAACCCCGAACATAACTAATATTAAAGGCTTGGACATTGAAATTGTTGACACGCATAAATATCTAGGGGTTGTTATTGATAATATGTTGACATTTCAACCTAACAGCCAGGCTGTACATAAAAAAGTCCAACAAAGAGTTTCTGAGGAAACTTAGATTATTTCAGGTCTGTATCTCTATGATGATGCTGTTTTATAAACTATCTAATCTGTCTTATCTTTTTGCATTGTAGCTTGGTACGGAAATCTGAGTGTGTCATGCAAGAACAGGTTGAGCAGCCTGGTGAAGGTGGCAGGCAAGATCATTGGTTTTAATCAGACTGGTCTAATGGTAATCTACCAAAACTATGTTCAAAGGAGAGCTCAGGGTATCCTATGCACCCTGGATCACCCACTGTACTCTGTATTCCAGCTGTTGCCATCAGGACGTCGTTTTAGTGTTCCTATTTGCAGGACAAATAGAACCAGAAATACTTTTATAATGGTGGCCATTAGGTCATTAAATGAGTCCAGGGGGGAGGGGGATGTTTCTATATACTGATGTATGGATGTTGTGTGGTAATGTTTTTTGGTGTGTACATGGAACTTCGCCTGTGTTGTGGTATCTTGTTGCAATTTTAGTTTCCCTAACGGGATAATAAAGCTGAGTCTGAGTCTGTCTGAGTCTGAGTATCATTATTATAACCTTTATTATTATTATTATAGCCATTATAATTCAAACATCATACTTAACAGGGTATTTTACATATAAAATGTGCCACAGGATTCCTGTGAGGGTTGGGTTTTGCAGTAGTGGTGGGGTAAGGCCGTATACTAAGACTTTTTTTCTGTATAAACTACATTAGGCCTATGAAAAGTCTAAATGTGTGTGTGTGTGTACTGGTTTCTGTGGTTTAGAAGGAAACCAACAACGTGTACAATGACATGGGTATGACCCAAGTATGTGTTAAAGGGTCAGTTCACCCAAAAATGTAAATTCTGCCATTCACTCACCCTTTCATACCTTTTTGCACTTCTTTCTCCTGTTAAACACAAAAGAAGATATTCTGAAGAATGTTTAAAAGTCTATAACCAGTAACTTCCATAGTATTTGTTTTTCCTACTATGGCGTTCCACGGTTACAGGTTTTCAGCATTCTTCAAAATATCTTCTTTTGAGTTCAACAGAAGAGAGAAACTCATGAATGTTTGGAACCACTTGAGGCAGAGTAAATTGTGCTTACTCTTGCTTGTGCAAGACTGTTGCCGTCTATGTTGTTACAATTGTAATATTTAATACGATAGTGATATTCAAGATTTGTGAAGTCATACAGCTCTGGATAACTTGAAACAGCGAGCACTAGTCTCTCCTACGTCTTTAAAAGTTCTCAGTAGTTGTCTTGACAACACAAACTGCAGCTCTGGGATGAGCCGCGTGCAAAACAATTGCGGCTTTTAGTAAACCATTGAAAAGATGCCACTCTTAACTCAAAAATCGCATTCAAACGGCCCCTTCTGCAGCCAAGCTAAAAATATTTTCAATAATATTTTTCTAATTGTTTAACTGATAAGCATCCCTAGTGAGTTCGCCCTAATAAGTGTTTTTACAGAATGAAACACGCCTATGGACAGTCTTCATATACCACTAAAACAAAGTGTGTGTGTTCCTTACGTTGGTATGGGAACCAAGCAGGGAGGACATGGTAGAGCCGTCCGCACAAATGCAGGAGTCGAGGGTTGTTCCCACGGACCAGCCAAATTAGCCTGAAAAACAGTCACAGAACTAGTCAAAAACATTTTATAATAGAACTAAGATGAAAAACAAACAGTTACTAAACATTTATAGAAAATAAAATAATTAGCAAATTGTTTAAAAAATGAATAAGAACCCAATCGTGAGAAGAGTTAAACTGTGCAAACACTGAATTTTGTTATAGTCGACACTGAATGTGTTTCTATTCACTAAACTAAAACTAAAACTAAATAAAAACTTCATGTAGACGTGTTCACAAGATCAAAAAAACTAAACCAAAGCGATCAGAACCATTGATGAAGCAAACTAAACTGAAATAAATAGCACATTTATAAACAGCACCACTCGTTCGGCAAAATAAAAGTCCCCCTTGTGTGCTGTTGGGTCATTTTCATCCACTCTGAGTCTTAAGGCTCCTACACACCGGGACGCTTTTCGTTTGCGTTTATCGTCAGCGTTTTACAAAACGTTTTTTCGTATTCAAACCTAAGCGCTTTTCACTGGCGTCAAGCTGAAGAGTATGCAAAATCACTCCCTGACGTTAGATGGCGCTAGACACCTTTAAGCTTCTGACACCGGCTTATATCACAGAAGAAGAGGAGGAGAGGAAGTTCACACGCCTGTTAAAGTTACTGGGGACTCGAACAAGCATAGAAGGTTATAGATATATACACTAGATGTCGCCTGGCCTATTGTTGTCTATTGGACGGAATGCGTCAATAGCGCCGCCATCTTGCTACAGGGTAGCGCTCCTTTGAAATGAATGCGGGACCAAGGTACAGTGGAGGACTGTGGCCATCCAAAGCCAGAGATATACACATAAACACATATATCTATGATCGGGAGTTTTCCTGGATGCAAGTATGTAAATTTTTTTTTTTATAATTACGAAAATTATAATTTTACATCACTTTTCTACATTGATGGATCAGTGACCGCACGGGCATTCCTGAAAAAAAGCTTGTGTTTGTGTGTACAGAAATGCACTATTCACCCTCCCTGTTAAACTTGATCTAATCATGTCCTGAAATACCCCTCCTCTTCTGCTTTCACTTCTCATACTGACGGAGGGAGCGATTCGCTTGTGAATGAATCCCCCGAACAACTCCTTCACTAACGTTAGCCGACAATAATGCAAGTTTCTGGCAGCGCAGCATCTCGTTGTCATATTTCTTTTGCATTGTTTGCTGATTTTATTCAACAAAACTAGCATAAGCTGAGTGTTTAGTGCGAGTTGGAGCTGCTTTGCCGTATGGTGAATGCAGTAAGTGACTGTTATCATCAATAACGCTAACTGATTAGCACAAAAGTTCAGAATATACAAAAACAGAAAAAAACTTAATATTACCTATGAAATGTTCTGCCTTTGAGCTTTGTTTTCTTTGTTTGCTTGTTACTACACCCGTAGACAGCGCTAAAGTCCAGCATCTTCATGTAATAACACTGTCTTGACTAGTGCGGTTGAACGACGTTTGTCCTGGGAGCACTGTACCAATGTGGCGGCGCTATTGGCGCATGCTCAGGGTCCCTATGCGACATCTAGTGTATATATCTATGAGAAGGTTCAAGCAGCAGCTCCAGCGATAAAGAAATGATTAATGTTCACAGAGCAATAAGCAGCTCCACGTTCATATCGCCTCTGGGCATCTTCTTCAATGTGCGCTCGCACTGACAGTTTTGCGCTTGAGCGCCTCCCAAGTGCTGTTTACTGTAACTTCAGCAGCATCGTGCACGTGAACAAAAGTGCCGATCTGATTGGTGGAAAAGGTTTTGACGCAGCCGAGCCAAGGCGTTTTTTTTTTTTTAAATGACGTTTTTGCGCGTTGGTGTGCTCGATCACATTGACGCCCTTTATTTAGTCACAAGGCATTAAACGTGGACGGTAAACGCAAGCAAAAAACGTCTCGGTGTGCCCAGACCTTTAATTTGGCCACAACTTTCTCTGCGTTTCAGCAAAAGAAATGATGTTTGCTGACAAATCTTATTTTGACATATTTTGGGAAAATTGCTTAGAGATTCTTCAAGAACTCAATACACTCTTGTCAAATGTACTACTCTTCCATTATGTTGGTGGCTGTTTTTGACCCATTGACATCCATTATGATCTCATTTTTTGATTGCAAAGCCATGACAGCATATAATCATGCATTCTTGAATGTTTCTGGTTTTCCCTGTTGGGAAGAGGTAAAAATTGTCATGTTTACTGTTGATAATAAGTTGCAGTGCAAAAGAAATATAGTTTCTGGCTTTTATATATAGTTTTATGGAATATAGTGTGTGTGTGTGTGTGTGTGCGCGCAAGAGTGACCATTGCACACTTACCTTAATATGTCTGAGAAAATGAAAATGCACCCCTCAGCTCTCAGAACACAGTAAACACAGTAAGTACACGATAGTATGGTGTATCGATGATAGGCAAAGATCGCCTATGAGCTCAGGGTAGAGTTTTGCATGTAGGTCAAATAGGCTATTTCATATTACAGCAATTGCCGACTCATAAGAGCAATTTGCCGCAGCCATGTCTAAAATGAAACTCTTATCAGAAAACAATAAACATACGCTAAGCACAATAGATCTTAGCAAATACAAGACACTGTTGATGAATACTTTTGTGATGACTTGACCTGAAGCTGCTCCGCGCTCAACTGAACAAGACGGAAAACTTCCCCGCATAGAAACAGTCACGTGCGGGTGGCGACTCCGTCATCCGCCTCCCGTCTGAAAATGCACCCTTGTTTCTTCTGTGCTTAGATAAATATAATTTTATTTGCTTTCATCCATGTATATATGCATTTTGCAGGAGTCCTGCGGGCCGTGGATAACGGCATGAACCCTTTGGGTTCCAATTCTGTCCCGCCCTGTTGCATCGAGTCTTGTTTGAAATATTTACGGTCTCACTGCCTATTTAGCTGTAAGAGCGAGGTGATTTGCATTAGTTTAAATTATTATCCCAGATCAAACGTAATGCAAATGCTGTCGGTTATTAAAGGGTCATGACACCCCCCACTTTCGGTTCAGGTCTACCTCAGAATTTAAAAAAAAAATGAATAATGATGGGTGTGGAGCTCCACGAGCAAAGGCTGGAGTGGGCGTGGCCAGCAGAGCAGGGGAGAAGGAGGGGAGTGAACAACTGTTGTCAGTCAGTTCACAAAATGAGACGCAAACCGTGAGGAGACGCATGAGTTTATAGTTTACAGCGTTAAAACACAAAGAAATTAACAGTAATGTAATGTCCTACTACATTTTTCAATTGTAAGTCCATATACAGATAACCACAATCTATATCATAAAGGTAATGGTGTTCATATAAACACTATAAATGAGGACGTCTCCCTCAATCCCCGGGTCTGAATGCAGACTCAGTGCAGCAGGTCTCTTGCCCTGTCTGTTTTAACCATTAGCCCTGCTGGTAATCTGGAGGATTTAGGTGAGCACAGCAGCACGGCGATGTGTCTAAATGTGAACGAACTCCTGATAAAAGACGACGTCCGCCATTCTCCAATTCTCGTACTGCTCTCCTGACAAAATTGCTTGCTGCACACAAACAGCTTTGCTGTATCGGCCCTGACAGCATCGCGGGGAAAAACATGCAACAAACCCTGTGGATCATGGAAACAAACACACACGACCCTTCATGAACGGCTAAATACTGTGTGCCGTGGATATGTGGACGCGGTTTCACCCAGTCATCAACATAGGGCAGGGATGTGCAAAGGGATGTGCCGGTGTCCCTGCAGAGTTTTGGTCCAACACTAATCAAACACAAAAAGAACAAACTAATCAATGTCTTCAAGATCACTTGAACTCTATAGGGAGGTCTGTTTGAATAGGGTTGGATCTAAACTATGCAGGACACTGGCCCCTCCAGGATCAAGTTTGCCCACACCTGACATAGGGTCTCACAACTTGGCACTGGCAGGTCTGTCTTGCCTTCAGAAAGCACGTGCAGTCATGAACAATTAAGAAGCCGGCTCTTCTCATAGGATAAGAAAACTCCGCTATGAATAATAATGAGAAACCGACGCGTCATCATTGCACTTGCAGTTTTGCGCTCCGTCACTGATTTTGATCCGCCCCAAAAATCATGTTAAACCCGGAAGATGAAATGAGCTGACAAAAGCTCAAAATTATCCAGTTTACTCCACAATTAAAGCTAACAGGAGCGAACATTGTCTTAACTGATGCTCAACACACACACACACACATCTGTTAACATCTCAAATAAAGTACTCGAGGGTTTCGTGAACCTTTAAAGGGCCATGAAAGCCCCTCGTTTCAGCAGGGTGTTTTCACACCTCTACATTGGAAAAAGTCAGAAAAGTGGGCGTGTCCAACTCTGTTTAGGGGGGAGTGTCGGAGGAAGAAAAGAGGCATGATGTGGGAGTGTCTTATTGGGCGCGCTGACTTTCAGAGTCAAAACACACACACACACACACACAGGGGAGAAAGTGACTGTGTTTACATGACATCTGTAGTCGAATTATTTGCCAAATTATTAAATGGTGGACTTTAACTGCAGTTTGGCTCTTTCATTCAGGGAATTCATTCATGCCCCTCGCGACAAACAAGATATTTGATTCGAGGAGCTGCTGTAAGCGTGTATTTTTCATGCAATGTTTGATACTGCATGGCGAATGAGAGAAAAAAACCCTCAGCATTTTCCAGAAACTTAGATGCACACGGCAGGCAGCGTCAGAAAGCCGCGTGTGTTATTCCGGTCACAAAATCCAACACGAGGTTAAAGTTTGGTTGTGGTGCTAACTTGTTTACACTCGGTGCAATAGTTTGTTCGATATGAATAAAATACGAACTGAATAAACAAAGAGCACTGGTCGCTCACTTACCAAATCTGTAGAGACAGGACAATCACCAGCAACTAGAGCCGCGTCTTTATTAAGAGGAGACTACAAGCGAATCCGGATCTCAGCGTTTGCAGATGAGAACAGCTCTCAGGTAAACAATAATCCTCCTTAGACACGTAAGTTATTGTTGTTGAGCGTCGCGTACACTGTTAATCCACACGTGACTCCAGCTGAGCTCTCACAGAGAGAAAATGAAAACAAAACTTCACTGCAGCAAACTATAAAAGCAATACTTCACGCTTGTTTTGCCAACACAACGTGGCGTCTCTGTCGTCTAAACACTGTGACAGTAATGAATATTAATGAAGTTGCACAATAGAGCGTGCTGATTGGTTTGAACCAAGCTTTACTCATGCATTAATGCAGCACACTGTAAGACGTAATAAGACTCACTCTGGCACAGACGTCCAGTCTGCATGCTGGAATACACGCTATTATCTCATGTCTGTGACGCAGCTTAAAAATTCGTTTCAAACCGGAAGTACGAATTTGCTTGAAATAACGCAAAAACAACCAATTTACACTTTTTAGTGAAATATAGGTGTCCTAATAGTGTTTTTAGCAGTGTGGGACACATATACGACTGTCAACAGCTCAACACATGTGTTTTGGTGTTTCGTGACCCTTTAAGTAAGTTTAAAATTCAACCGAAAGCTTATTAAATATGTTTAGATATGGTTAAATACAATAATAAAAGATTATATTTAAATAAACATAAAACTTCCGCGCCCCCATTGTGTATCGGCGATCTCACAGGATGACAACATGGCGATCTGAAAATTTCGCATAACACTATTGCACACGCTAAAATCTGCTTATTACTCCACTGAACTCCGTATAAATGCCAGAAACCCTTTTTGTGCAGGTCCATCTAATGAGAAAATTCTGTCAACAGATGATCAACAGTAAAACTGACAAATGTTACCTCTTCCCAACAGGGAAAACCAGCAACAGTGAAGAATTCATGATTATAAGCTGTCATGGCTTTGCAATCAAATATGTAATTATAATGGAACTCAATGGGGTTAATGCAGCATCAGCATGAAAGGGGAGTCAATCTGAACAATACACAACGGTTAAAAATGCAAAACTAGGAAAAGGCAATCCTGATATTAAATAAATGGCATACCCGGTCAGTGGCTTTCACCAGCACCTGGTCGTGACATGGGGCGGGACACAAGTGCACACAGCCTGCTAACGTCAGCTGACAAGGCTGCTTACAGGGAGGACAAGGGCCGAAGTGACAGCGGTGCTTCTCCTGAGATGCGTGATGACATGACGGAGGTTTCCTTCAGAGACAAGCAAAGGCATTTCTATGATACTGTACGACAGAACAGGAGTGGACAGAAGAACTTTGAAAAAACCTGAAAATTATTGTGCATTTCAAGAGTTCACAATTAGATATTGTTTGACAAATGTTAGCAGGTTTGGCATGCTGTCCTGGGGGAGAACCCTAAGCTCCAGGGCTCCCGCCTGGTCAATAGACAACAGCACTTGCAATAAAACACAACAGTTGGATACCGCAGGAAAATTTGTACTGAAGAAAACTATCACAGAACATCTCCGCAAACTGCAAGTCCGGTTTAATGACTTGTTTCCCAAAATACACGATGATGATCCCTGGTAGGGTTGTAACAATATACCGGTATGACGGTTTACCACGATTTGAACGTGCACGATTATCATACCATGAACAATTGCATATCAACGGTTTTAACCCTTAAAGACCGAGACAGGCGCCCGCGGCTAAAAATAAGTATTGCTCTTAAATGTTTAATAACTTTTGATCCGCTGATCCGATTCATACAATTCAAAGATTGGCATAAAGAAGAGAATCTCAGCTTTCCAGTGCTGTATCACATAACATAACATGTATCACATAACATAACACGCGGACTTTCAGAGGCTCCGGAATCAGTGCGGTTACGTCATCAAAATTTGACCACGCTGATTTGACAAAGAAACGCTCGTCACTGTGTCTCCGGACAAATCAGACATGATACATTGATGCATTGTCCCTCCTCCATGCCCAGATTGGTTCAAACTCGCTATATCGCAACCAATAAGCATAGGTTTCGCTTTTGTTTGTGGACCAAACAATGAGCTTTTTGAACAACACGGAATGAGAGATAGGCATACATTTATGCGCGGCTAAATAAAACGCAAAAAAAAAATTTTTGCATGAAATAATTCTCATACTAAGTACTTTTGCATGCACAGCAGCACAGAAACATGACAAAACAGTGACACAGCAAAGACGAACTGCTGCTCTTGCTGTTTTCAAAAGACACAAATGAAGGTGCAGCTGTTTATCTGCATTGCAGACAACCATATCCAAATCCATATCCACAGACAACCATATCCATGCTGGCACATAAAACCTAAGGATGTTCCATATTGAATCTAGTTTCGTTATGTAACTATTTATAGTATAGTAAACATTTATATCTATTTTTTACTGAGGATTTACACCATGTTTATTTGGACTTTATTTGGACTTTGACACATTATTTATTATTTTCTTATTTTTTTATTTGTTCATTGTAAGTGGTGTTGTTTATAGTAACTGAAAATATATTATTTGGAAAAAGTCAAATTTGCTTCACTGTTCTATTATTTTGTAACATTTGTAACATACCGTATACCGCGAAACCGTCAAACCGTGGTACTGTTTTAGACGATTATCATACCGTAAAAAATTCATACCGTTACAACCCTAATCCCTGGATAAGTGGATCCCTTTGAAATCGACTCTAGCACTAAATTCTCTGAGCACGAACAGTTCCTTTGTACAATTAGCACTTCTCATTAAGTTTAATTCTTGGTGATGACAATCGTGAATGTGTATGCTGCACATGGAAAGGAAGTAGGACTTTTATGCTGTGTCAAAAGGTCACTTCCAGGGGGTGAGCGGGAGTTTTTGTTTTGTTGGTGGATGGCCATGGTGGTCATGCAATAAAGCAGTGGTTCCCCTAGGGGTCCTAAGGGGGGGGGGAATAAAAATAAAAATTCTCCGCTATTATATAGGACTGTGCAATTAATCGAAAATCCGATTTCGATTTCGGCTTCAAACGATTATAAAAAAGCATTAATCGAGATAAAAGATTATTGCATCATATACTGCCCCCTTTCCAGTTGTACACGTGTTGCTTTCAAAAACGCAAAAGGCCGCGTGCTGATGTGTGTGTGCAGCTAGCACACACAGTCAGAAGCATGCGGCCGGTCAGCATTCGCTCTCATTCGCACACTGAGATGAGCAGAGGAGCGCAGACATCTAAAGTCTTAACGTGAGCGCTTTAACGGTCAAATAGATGTCAAAACGCGGTGTTTAGTCATTATTTATATTAACCCTTATTTGTGTAATAAACAAACGAGTTGAAGATCAAAAGAAAGAGAAACCATTAAAGTGAAAGCGAGAAATATTCCTGCTGCCGCCTGTTTTATCATTAATCAAACATAGCGAGAAAATTCCTCTCTGCTCTTGACTGAAGGATTTTTGTAGCTAAAGTGTTTTTCTTACAGTGAAGATGCTTAAAGCACAGTTTGTTTCATATTTTTATTATATTGTATTTATTTCTCTTTCCTTTGCAGGGTGGAAAATAACTGTATGTATTGACCTTATTCTAAAATGCGGAAGTGCGCCTGTTTTCGCGATTGTCTTAGAACTTCCGATTCAGTCGCCTATGGGAGAAATGACTAGGAATAATAAACGGCAGAAAATGGCCAAACTACTTGCTCAACAAACAAATGTTTGCATGACTACACAGACCAAGTAGCATAATATAATAAGAAAATATTAAATTGCAACATCAAGCAGCGTAACGAGCAGTTGTTAACGTCAAAAAATGAATGGAAGTGAATGTGACCGGAAGTCGCGAGACAAAAAGATTCAAATGGCAGCGCCCACTCGTCAGCTGAGAATAAGGTGAATACAGTTGAAGTCAGAATTATTAGCCGTCCTGAATATTAGCAACCCTTTGCCATCAATTTTTTTTTTTTTTTTACTTATTTCTGAACATAATAGTTTTGATATCTCATTTCTAATTACTGATTTCTTTCATCTTTGCTATGATGACAGTACATAATATTTTACTAGATGTTTTTCAAAATACAAGCATTTAGATTAAAGTGCAGTTCAAAGGCTTAATTAGAGTAATTAGGTAAGTCATTGTATAACAGTGGTTTCTTCTGCAAACAATCAAAAATATATATTGCTTAAGGGGGCTAATAATATCGACTTTAAATGGGTTTCAAAATATTTAAACCTGCTTTTAATCAAGCTAAAATAAAACAAATAAGCCTAGAAGAAAAAATATTAGAGGAAATACTGTTAAAATTCCTTGTTCTGCTAAACACAATTTGGGAAATATTTATAAAAAACAAATTCTCAGGAGCGCTAATAATTTTGACTTCAACTGATAATTGTTTTGAATAATCGTGATTACAATTATGACCAAAATAATCGTGATTATGATTTTCCCAAAATCGAGCAGCCCTACTATTATATATGTATTTTTAAATACCGAAAACAATAAAAATAAAATCAAAACACATGCTTAAAATTCCAACATAATAGTAAAAATAATAAAAATAAATAAATTTAAATTTTGCTCACTCGCGCAACGTGCTTGTCAACGTGTCGTAAAGGCAAAATCAAAACAAAAATGGCAGAGAATTGTAAATGCAGAGATTCTTCAGAGGCGAAGAAAAAGATTACACAGTATGACAAAGCCTACCTAAATTTTGGTTTTATTGAAGGCCAAGACAAGTTAAAACCGATTAATTTATATTTTCTATACATATTATATATTAGTATTACACAAACACACACACACACACACACACACACACACACATATATATATATATATATATATATATATATATATATATATATATATATATATATATATATATACAGTACATATGTTTGTATGCATGTGTATTTATATGGTGGGGGGGCTCCAATGTTTGTATATGTTCATGGGGGAGGCCCCAAAGAAAAAGGTTGGGAACCACTGCAATAAAAGAGACAAGTTCAAAAATGTTGCTTTCATTTAGTAACACTCATGTGTACAGCCTCGTCTTGTTGAATCGCTGAATGCCTCCTCAAGCCGCTTTGGACAAAAGCATCTGCTAAATGCCCAAGTTTTAATGTAAAGGTAGATACAATGTAAACGTAAGATCGCGTACTTGCAGAGCTCTTTACAGCGAGGTGGTTTGGTGCTTCGCTCTCTCCCACAGGGTACAGAGATCACGGTGGAGCCGCACTCACAACCAACCTTGACCATCTCCGGACATGGATAACAGCTGCCTGAAAGAAATGAAAGAAATATTACATTTTATATATATGTATTTATATATATATATATATGGGGTAACCCCCTGTTGGTGTGAAGACAAAAACAAAATGGCGATGATTGGCCACATCCACTTGTAGCTAGGACTGGGTATCGTTTGGGTTTTTTTCGATACCACTGCTAAATCGATACTTTTAAAACAGTACCGGTACCAAAACGTTGCCTGAACCGATACTTTTTAGCCACAAAATTAATGTATAATTGTCCTCATTTGTAAGTCGCTTTGGAGAAAAGCGTCTGCTAAATGACGAAATGTAAATGTAAATGTAATTGAACAATTAAAATATATATTTATAATACGTTTAAAGTAAACATCAATTCATTTTGTTTTCTTTAGAATTGCATTAATATATTTCTTTTGATCATTTTTTTATTAGCATAAATGCAAGATTTGCATTATGCCATTAACATTACATTAGCCTACTACTAACCTGTGGAAAGGCTGTCATCAAAATCAGGGAGCGCCTTTTTTCTGGGTTTGGGGCTTGTGACTACTTTTACATGGACATCAGTGATCTAATGATTTGCCTTAATCTGAATAAAGCCTAGTTCACACTACAGGATTTTAAACATCAGCAGATCGCTGTGCCGTTCACACTACATGACTTGACTTTGTGTCTTTTAATCTCTGTGGTGTTCACACTACGCAACACTCCGTGAACGATCCACAAGAGGGGGGTCACACACTACATGATCTGACAACAACTCATTCCCCATCAGCTCATTCAAGCTACCAAACCACAGCCAATGAAAATTTGAGGGAGGAGTCGTCAGAAAAAGCTGAACACTATTGGCTGCTTGTGTGCGGATTACATCACCGACAGCGTTTCAAGCTTTGGAGAAAGCATTTAAAAACATCGTCAAATCAGCTGATTTATCAGCGCATTAATCACTCATCTGCAAGGTTTGAGTGGATAGACACAGAGAGTTTTTAATTTTGTAATTTTATAACTCTTTGAAATAAAACTAACATATTTATAACACCCTGCCGTTTTCTAACTATCAGTGTATTTCTTTCTGACATTGTTATTTTTTTTTTATTACAAAACAGTAAAGAACTGAGCATTTCTGCCTTAAATTACCATATTGGTCAAAATGACTGCATGCATGTCTGATACTTTTCACTGTGACTTTAAATATGTGTGCAGTTTTTTGCCTAGCAACTTCCTGCTAACATAAACAAAACTTTCTGATGGCAAAAACATCAATTTACTTCAGATATCTTTCAAAACTGCAGATTCAGTGCTGTGAAATAGCTCCTGTTTGAAAGTGAAAATGAAAGCCAAGACCTTTAAGTGTTTTAGTATCTTAACTACATATTTATAGGCTGTATTACCAACAAAAATATTATATTTTTAGGGTAATGGTGTCATTAAATATGATGCCAGACATTCAAAGCTTAATTTTAATATCTCAATAATAGCTTTGAATGTAAATATGTTGTGACAGTATGGCGTTTTATATGAGAACGGTCAGAATGAGCAGTATGGTAATTCTAATAGTTACAGAATTCTAGCTCCACTGTTAATATAGCCTACTCTCATGTCTGTGTTAACGCAGAATGAAGCGAGTGCACCGATGCCCATTCTGACCAATCACAGATGTTTCTGCTGAGCTCCTGAACACACAGACATTCAGCTCATGCTGATCTGCTCTCTCATTGGCTGCAGCTCGTCACTACATCTGACCACACGTGGGGTTGAGTCGGCCGACTGCTCTGGAATATTTAGCATGCTGAATGTTGGATTTCCGTCTGCGAGGTGTCGGCGACGCGTCAGCGAGCCTCGTTGATGCGTTGCTCAGTAGTTCATACATAAAGAGCGCCGAGCACCCGCAGATTTCTTCCCGATCACAGCCCGATCTGTCGGCGAGCTCGTTAACTTCCAAATCGGGCTCAAATCAGGCTTAAAATCCTCTAGTGTGAACTAGGCATAAGACAGTAATATGGTTCAGGTGTTTACATGAGCTGCTTTTTAAATGTTACATTCATGATTCCCAGTTACATGCTATAGCACATAGATCCAGTAACATCATCAGCCTATAAATGTTTCCTCCGCAGTTTGTGTCTGTGGTCCTTTAAGATAATCAAGATAATCACTGTTTACGTGGTAGACTCTTGATCAGAGTATTGTCTTAATCATATAAAATCAGAGTATTGGTTTCCATGTAAACATACCTAGATAATATGCCAGATGATGTCACAAGCTGTTAA